GTGATGGTACAAGTTCGCTAGCTCTAGCTAGCTTCATAATTTTTTTGTGTTAATTTGCTAATGCATGAGTATTTTTTTTTTTTAAATGATGATTTAAACTGCTTTAACTTCATCAGCTTCCACCTTCATATTTGAAAACATGTAGGTGATGAAACCTGTCGTGTGACTGCAAGACGGCATTGCTCTGATTCTGGTAGAGGAGTGCTTTTCTTGGAAAAGGGCTCATCTTGTTTGTCTTACGTGTAGGAAAGGAAGTACAGGTATGTTCAGTTTTTATGTATGTTAGGAATTTGTGGCGAGAGACGCAGAATGAATTCTTTGGCGTTCGGAGAATAATGATAAATGGTTTTTTTTAGGCAGGGTGTCCCATTCTTAGGCTCGACACGTGGATGCTTTTAAAATGGCAGGGCCTGAAGGGGTGTCTAACGCGTGCGAGCTGCCGGACCAGTCAGGCGACCCATTCCTGGGTTCTGATCCACCTTCTCGGAATCTCTGGAATTGCCCTTCCTGTCGGGCCTGTGGTCCTGCTCGACGTGAGGCCAGGACAGCAGCGTCCAGGCGGGTGACACGGAGTTAGTGGACTGGGGTGGGAGTTTCAAGGAAGTGTTTGTCTCTGCTAGGAAGGCTTTTCCCATGATAAAGCAGTATCCCTTCTGTAAACCGTTGAGTGTGCTTTGGACACTTTTACTCCTTGTGTTTAGAGCCGACAGTGAGGGAAGGTTTAGGATGGTGAGTTTCCTGGGAATGAAGGACAGCGCTGTTTTTCGTTTTGCATAGGACCTTGTTTTTAATAGAAGAACAACTGAAATCAATAAAATTCTAATGTAGAAGTAACTCTCAACTGTTGTCGGTGTTTATTTTTTTTCCCTTTGTTTCTGATAAGTCTGCAAATAGACACTAGAAATCTGACAACGGCAGAGTATTTGAACTGTTCTTTTTTTTTTAAGTCACGCAGCAGGTTTTAGAATCCCCCTGTTTTTAAAAGCCCCGTCTGTTGTTCAAGCCGTGACCCCAAGTGGGACGACGAAGGTCGGCGCTGGCCCCCAAGGACCGTCTCGAGCAAAGGAGCTGTGCGTTCTCAGGCTTGACCATACCGCCCCACCAAGCGCCGTGATGTGGTCTCTTTCTGGTTTGCGAAACCTTGGCAGTTGATTTTTGCTCTCACAGAACCGCACTGACAGACGTGTTGCCCACAGTGGAATTCGGTGGGGTGTTACAAGGCGCCCAATCTCTTCCTACAGACAGTTTGGGGTTTTTTTGCGGGGAGGGAAAGGTGCTGCATGTTCTTGCATAGCTCGTGTACAGTGAGGACCGGCAGCAGCCTGGATGGGACTTCCAAAAAGCCGAAAAGAGGATCTGGGGATTTTCCTCGTCCTTTTTTTTTCTGGCCGGTGAGTCACTTTCACGTGAACACCAGGAGGGAGGTTCTCTCCCCTCCAGCTGTGGACTCAGGCTCTGAGCTGTGGTTACGTGCTCTACGTGCGGTGTAGGAGCGAGCTCAGCTGTTCTTCTCTTACAAACTTGTCATTCAGGCGCCTTTCGGATTAAAACGCCACTTTCCTCTTGGAGCTTAAATATGGAGAAACCAAAGACAAATGAGTGATTTGTCCGGGTGGGGCTGCACACTGGTGGTGACAGTGGGATTCCCCATGACCTGGCAAGAGCATTGAGTGGAGTGTCCAGAAAAGAGCTATATAAGTGCAAGAAATTATTATTGTTTATACAAGAAGAAAATACTGAGCCATTCACCATTGAGTACTTGAAAATGTGTTGTGTGATCTACAGGGGCTGTTAAAGTAGTGCACATGATTGTTAGCACTTTACAACGTGTAATAAATGCTAGGCTTGCAAACAAGGCGTATACTATAGACGCATAGATAAACACGCAAGCACGTACTGTACGACGGTTCTCTTCTATCCTAGAAGGCTCCACAGCCGGAACTTTCTTTTCTTTGTTCTTTGACTTGTTTTTCTTCTACATCCTATTTTTTTCGGAAAGCCCAAGTGGGAATATTTCTCCAGCACAAAGAACACGAGCCTCCCTTCCGTGTAATGAATCCCGTGACAATCCGATTACACTATCCACGCAGGTTTGGGGGAATACCGTGATTTTACTATAAGCCCTAAACCAATCCCTTTTATAAAATTCCACTTGATTGTCTGCTATACCAGCCTTGGTTTCGAGATGGCTGTGATAACTTTCGGTTTCCTTTCCACCATCTCCAGGCTATAAATGATCAGCTTCGGAGACGCGCAGTACCACAACCGCCTCAAGAGCCGGGAGGAGATGCTCGGGAACAGAACGATTTGTGAGTGAAAGATGTCTTGATCCGTAGATATCGCCTCTCTTCCTGTTTCGGATACTGGACTAAGTGAAGTGGGGCTGAATGAGGTTTGTAGGAAGGGAGTTATCGTAGAAGACTTTTGTCTGAAAATATTCTTAACGTTAAGAATGCCGGAATGAATCCACGTGAATCTGTGATAAAAATCCGTCTTTCCGTTTGAGTCACTCTGATCTCAGACGGCACCGGCCAATTGCATTGAACTATAAACTTTAAAAAAACGCTTTAATATAAACTTTAATGCCGTTTTGATAAATGTTCTTTTTTCCATGCTGCGTTCCAGTCTTCCTCGCTGTAGATGCACCGTTTCTAAAGCAGCGCAACTAAGTCTAAGACGCGAGTCTAAGACGTCTAACCCGGCACCCTTTACGGACATTGAGCAGCCGTTGGGCGGGTGTGTTCGGGCTAATACTTGATTAATCGATACAATCAGGGCTGAACTCTCGGGAGTTTTTTACGTGGGAAAACAAAACGACGGGTAATTGTTTTGCTCTGGGAGCCACACAGCGGTTATTTACGGCCAAAACCGCCGTGACTGGGCGGGGTGGACAGCGAGCCCCTGCTGGCCAACAGGTCCCAGCTCGTGGTGGTGGGGTTGGTGGCAGCAGGAGCGCGCCGAGCCAGGTGCGCTCAGGTGCGCCAGGAGCCCGTCGAGCTGTTTCCCGCTCAGGCAGCCGAAAGCTTTTTTTTTTTAAATATATATATATAGAAGAACAGCTTTTTGAAAGCGGTAGCCAGTGTTAGTAACTCGAAAGGCTGAGACAATCCTTTAATTTGAACCAGGCTCGTAAGATGTCTGAGACAGGTCTGTGTTACTCCAGGTAAGGACTGGGGATTTTTTTATTGATGCCCCTCCGTGTGAACCAGAATACCTACTGGACGTTGTCGGGTTTGACGAGCTGTCTAAGAAAAGAGAAAGTGCTGGAATCCCCGAGGCTCCTCAGAATTGTTCAGACGAAAATCACTAGTTACCGGGTTTGTGCGTTTAATTCAATTAACAAGATAGGGTTTCTCCGAAGTGGCTCTTTGTGGCACAGGGAATGTATGTAATCAGATTCTATTTATAATAATCAGAGGCAGATCGCGTTGCAAATCACATTGGGTTTTTTTTTTATTTGAATAATATATTTCGCCTTTTTAAAGCACTTTCCTACGTCATTTCACGGCGTGGGTAAAGAGCTTCAAACGGTCCGTGTCCTCCAGGGACTGTTTGAAAAAAAAATTGTTTTCTAGTTAAGGTGGATGCCGTTTATATACCCAATACCCGAAACCGTTCCGTTTAAAAGAAGGAAAATATTAATCACGCGGTGGAACAGATTCGGGTTTGTGATTCTAGTTTTTACAAAGCAGCGGACCCTGAACCTGCTGTTCGGAGGCGAATGGAGCCCTTTTCCTGTTTGAGAGAAGGGGAACCGACAACGTCCGATGATGAAGAAGACGCTCTCTTGTGTCTTTTCCCTTCTGTCTTGGTTTTCCTTGAGAGTGTCATTTGTGCCTTTCTTTAAGGGAGAGAGTGTGTGTGTGTGTGGGTGGGGGGGAGGGGGTTCGGCCCGTGTAGCCCGTCTGGCTGGTAGAGACTAGTTGATCCCGGGGTCTCCTCCAGTCCTTTCCCGAAGGAAATCCTTCAGCCTTACGGCTAGGTGTAGCTTGCTTGTTCCTCCCGTTCTCGCTTTTAAACGCTTCCGCCCGTGTCCCCTGGTTTCTGTTTCGCTGTTCATTCAGAAGACGTCCGCTGGGCTGACTGGCAGTGTTTTGAGCCCTCTGTAAACCCCTTCAATCTCCGTTCAAGACTCAAGAGGGTCAGTTCTTTCAGCCCATAATGAGTCTGGGATTCCTTAAACCCTGGATTTATTCCAGAGCAGCGCTGTATAGAGAAGGACAGAGGTCACTGTCCTGAGCAGATTAGAGGTCAGAATACTGACCGGGACAGAGGCCACTGTCCTGAGCAGGTTAGAGGTCAACATACCGACCAGGACAGAGTGAGATATTTTCTATCATACAATAAAATTTGTACTCCAGATGAGACTTTACTAGACTTACTATACAATTTTGACGTAACCTTCCTTGATTTAAAAGCCACACCTTTAACTACAGTATATATCCTGGCATTTTATTTCTATTAAGTTGATTCCCCACATTTCCTAGAAGAAATGACAGGTCGACGTCAAGTCTTTTTCATAAGTAGCCTCTCCTAGCTTAGCCTTTCCCATTTTGGATTTAGAATGTCCATTTTTATGACCTGCGTGCAATGGCTCACCCGGGTCTACAGTTTGCCCAGCAGGGAATGTGACCCACGCCTTGCTGAATTTCCCGTGCTGCTCACTGATCTGAACTTGCTGTCATCTGCAGAACGGACTAGTTTCCAGGCTGTTCTGGAGTCCAGATCACTGATGTAAACTAGGAAGAATAGTGGTCCTAGTACAGATCTCTGGGGTACTCCACTACTCACATCACCCCAGAGTGAGCCTTCACCCCTTTCCTGTGGCCCCTGCTTTCCGACGGAGGAACATGATCTCGTTGTCCAGTTCCTGGACTGGACGTGCGGTAACCGCCTGCCCTGTGTGTCCTCGTGTCCGCAGGGCTGCTAGCCGCCTGCGCGGCCCTAACCGGCGCGCTCCAGCACAACGCCGGCGACCCCCTCGCCAAGTGTCTGCAGGACAGCGACTACGAGGAGCTGCTGGACATCGTCCACAGGGGGCTGCCCCGGGCACGCACCCCGCGCCACATCGCCATCGTCGGCGCAGGCATGGCCGGACTGACCGCCGCCAAGCTTCTGGAAGACGCGGGACACAAGGTGAGGCGGCCGCCACCCTTCCGCGTGGGCGTGAGTCTCTGACGACCGGAT